GGTCGGGAGCGGCGTCCCCAGCGCCCCGCTCTTCACGTGCCTTTGGGCAGACGCGCGTCAAGGCCAAGCAGGGCGCCCTGCGAGCTCTTCCCTCGAGCCGAGAGACCAAGGACACCTGAACGGAGAGGCCGAAGCGGCAGCCAAGATCGTTAAAACATCAGAAAAGTTACTTTTGATGCTGTCTGGAGGGAGATTCCAGACGCGAATGCTCTGCCCAGCTGGCCCCGCACTAAGTTAACGCACAACCACTTGGGGGTGAGGTGGTTCTGCGGCTTTCTCTCTCTTTTTTTACCGGGCCGGATGGGGAGCCCCTCACCCCTTCTGTCCCCCTTCCCCCACTTTGCCTATACCAGTGGAAGAGCAGCCGATCACCCCCACCCAAGGGAGAGAGCCTGGGGGCCACCGCCGTCGTCGGTATTCGCAAGGGGAGCGAGCCAGAGAAGAAGCAATGTATTAAAGTTTTCCCTGTCTGCGTAGCAGAGTAAGCTCAGCGCCAATAAGCCGGCCGCCCTTCCCGCTGTGGGTCCCGTAGTAAAGGCAGAAGGAGCTTGTTCTTGTTTAGTCGTTTAGTCGTGTCCGACTTTTTGTGACCCCATGGACCAGAGCACGCCAGACACTCCTGTCTTCCACTGCCTCCTGGAGTTGGGTCAGATTCATGTTGGTTGCTTCGATGACACCGTCCGTCCATCTCCTCCTCTGTCGTCCCCTTCTCCTCTTGCCTTCACACTTTCCCAACATCAGGGTCTTTTCCAGGGAGTCCTCTCTTCTCATGAGAGGGCCAAAGTATTGGAGCCTCAGCTTCAAGATCTGTCCTTTCAGTGAGCACTCAGGGTTGATTTCCTTCAAAATGGATAGGTTTGTTCTCCTTGCAGTCCAGGGGACTCTCAAGAGTCTCCTCCAGCACCACAATTCAAAAGCATCAATTCCTTGGTAGTCAGTCTTCTTTATGGTCCAGCTCTCACTAGAAACCTAGCTTTCCTCCCAAGAAGCAGGTCTCTTTTAATTTTGTGGCTGCTGTCACCATCTACAGTGATTATGGAGCCACCCCCCCAAAATTAAAATCTGTCACTGCCTCCATACTTTCCCCTTCTATTTGCCAGGAGGTGATGGGACCAGTGGCCATGATCTTAGGGGTTTTTTTAATGGTGAGCTTCAGACCGTTCTTTGCACTCTCCGCTTTCTCCCTCATTAAGAGGTTCTTTAATCACTTTCTGCCATCAGAGTGGTATCATCTGCATATCGGAGGTTGTTGGTATTTCTTCCAGCAATCTTAATTCCAGCTTGGGATTCCTCCAGTCCAGCCTTCCGCATGATGTATTCTGCATATAAGTTAAATAAGCAGGGTGACAATATACAGCCTTGTCGTACTCCTTTCCCAATTTTGAACCAATCTGTTGTTCCATATCCCTTTCTAACTGTTGCTTCTTGTCCCACATATAGGTTTCTCAGGAGATAGATAAGGGGGTCAGGCACTCCCATTTCTTTAAGGACTTGCCATAGTTTGCTGTGGTCCACACAGTCGGAGGCTTTTGCATAGTCAATGAAGCAGAAGTAGATATTCTTCTGGAACTCTCTGGCTTTCTCCATAATCCAGCGCAGGGTAGCAATTTGGTCTCGAGTTCCTCTGCTCCGAAATCCAGCTTGTACTTCTGGGAGTTCTCAGTCCAACTACTGCTGAAGCCTACCTTGGAGGATTTTGAGCATAACCTTGCTAGTGTGTGAAATGGGTGCAATTATACAGTAGTTGGAGCATTCTTTGGCACTGCGTTTCTTTGGGGATTGGGATGCAGACAGGTCATAGTGGAGAGTTCTGACTAAGCGCGATCCACCAGGAGCAGGAACTGGGCAAGCCACTCCAGTATCTTTGCCAAGAAAACTCCATGAACAGAAACAAAAGAATGAGCTATTAAGAAGCAAAGAAATAAGGAAGTTACATTTCAAATGTTTCTCTGTGTTACCTGTTATCAGGTCAGAATCGACTTATAGCGACCCCAAGAGGGCTTTCAAGTTACAGGAAATGTTTAAGGTGTGGTTCTACCAGTGCCATTCCTCCGGTGAGTTTCTGTGGCTGTGTGGGGTTTCGAACCCAGGACTCTGTCCACGGCATCCCTCCTGGACGTGCCTTTCAGAGAGGACAGCCTAAGCCCAAATCCTAGCCAGATAGGCAGACGGAAAAGGAAAGACAGAGGGATCGCTCCCTGCAGGACTCTGAAAGGAAGCACGAGGCAGGCTCAGAGTATCTGTCTAAAACAGGAGGTGCAAGAGGAAGAAGAGGCGGGAAAGTCAAAAGGGAGACGCAGAAAGGTGGCATATAAATAAAACGAAATAAAATAAATCACCCTCTCTGGTTCTCTGGGCTGGAGAGGGGGTTACAGGGGATGCTCAGAGGATCGCAGGCGAACCGCCATCCCCACCGGAAAGGCCCCTTTGATTTCCTTGTCAAAGGGATCCCTGCGGGTGTTGTTGGGGGGGGGGAGGGGAAGGCCTGCCCCAAAGATCTTAAGACTTGTAGGGCGGAGGGGCCCTTCCGGTAAGGAAAGGTTGGGGCTGAGCTCCTTTCTGGGTGTTGAAGCAAAGCCCTTTTCATTTGCTAAGGACGGTCTTGCAAGTTTAATTGAGTAACCCGCCCCCCCCCGGCCCTATAGACATGTTTTGCACGGAGATTTTTTTAAAAGTCAAGTCAAAAAGGAACGTGTGTTCTGGCCCGTCTCGCCCCACGCACCCCTCTCTTTTCTTGCTGGAGTGTGTGTATGTGTGTGTTTTGGGGTGTGTGTCAGGATCTCTGCCTTTTCTCCCCCCCCCATTCTTTCTCCGCTTGGCTGGTTGCCGCTGCCCGACAATGCTCGAGTGAGGAGAGGGTCCAGGCAGACACGCAGGAACGCGTTTGGGAACGTGTGTTCTGGCCCGTCTCGCCCCACGCACCCCTCTCTTTTCTTGCTGGAGTGTGTGTATGTGTGTGTTTTGGGGTGTGTGTCAGGATCTCTGCCTTTTCTCCCCCCCCCATTCTTTCTCCGCTTGGCTGGTTGCCGCTGCCCGACAATGCTCGAGTGAGGAGAGGGTCCAGGCAGACACGCAGGAACGCGTTTGCGCGCGCGCGCGCGTCCACACGTTCTCCCCCCACACACCCTCGCCCTGCCAGGGTGGCGGGGAGTCGCGTTCCACCCGGTCCATCGCCGCCTTCCTTCAGAGTCCGGGCGTGTGTGTGCGCGTGTGTGCGAGGTGTGCGTGTGCACGCGCGTTCTTTTGAGCGTGCGGGCGCGTGCCTCCGCTCCCCGCTCCCGAGGCCGAACAAAGAGGCTTTTCACGCGAGCGGAGCAAAGAGGCCGCTTCTCCTTTCGCCCGGCCGATCGGAATGCCGATATTCTTGGTGTGTGTGTGCGTGTGCGTGCTGTCGAGGGGACCCCCGGCTGGTCCCACACCCCACCTGAAAAGATCCGTATTCCTCTTATGGCGGGGGGGGGAGACGAGGGAGAGGGAAGGAGCGCAACAGTTCTGGACCCGAAGTTCTGGGTTCGAGTCCCTCCCCCCGCCTCCCCATAGATACTTTTTAGGGAGAATCCTTCTTGCCCCCCAGCTTTAAAGGGGGAAGCCACCGAGACCTGCCTTTCGGGGGCGCTCCTGCTGCCCTTTTCGGAAGCTCCCCCCCCCAGCCATCCTGGCAGGTTCCTGGGATCATTTCAGCCCCCTTCCTGGTTGATTTTCAGAAATCTTTGAAGGGTTCTTAAATTTCATCATCCACATTTTGTCTTAATCTGTTTTGGATTCTCTTCCAAAAAAAGAAAAAAAAACCACGGAGTTTTATTTTCTTTCAATAGCAAAGTGACTGTAGAAAGTTGGCTAGGCCTTGCCCTAAGCAGAGAGGCGCCGGGTTGCCACCTTTTCAAACCACTTCTGCTCCTCTGCCCTTCCTTAACTCGGCTGAACTCCTAAGAGGAAGCTGGTAAGGGCCATCTTCCTTGGCTAAAGAGGGTGGGATAGTGCCCTTGATTCCAAATGCCGAGGCACTATCAAGTCATTTTGCTTTGGGGCAATGGGGTGAGACTAGATGGTCTCTGAGGTCACCCATACAATTTGACAATTCTACAACTGTAAGTGGCCGAAGGCCTCCCCACTTCGGAATGATGATGATGATGATGATGATGATGATGATGATGATGTGAGACAGCATCACGTGATCAGTGTCTGTGTGGTCCCAGGTCTTTTAAAGCCAGAGGGGCAGGGCCGAGGAGGAGAAAGTGGCATTTCTGGGTGAGCCATGAATGTGTGTGTGTGTGTGTGTGTACTATTAGGGGATTATTGAAGAGGGGGATGAATTTGGGGA